CAAACAACCCTTCCGGTCATTCAGGTCATCAACTTACCCTTCTCCTCCCCATCCGTATCCGAAGGAGAGGATGTACCTCTCTCCCATACAGACGCCGAACGTAGAGTTACCATTCACGCTGACAATACCATCGACAGCGGACCCCAATTCCCCACGACAACAGACCCACACGACCCCCAACGTCACCCACGAATCATCCTTTTCATCCCTCCATCCTCCTCCTCCTCCTCCTCCTCCCCATCACTCCTCGAATCCTCCGCTGACCCGCTCTTTAGCACCTTGATAGCCACGCGCAGAATCATAGTGAACCATATTATCGCGAGGATCTGGATGAACAGCAGCAAGGAGAGGAAGACCCATTTGATGCGGGGGCTCATGCAAATTGTGCCGCCGAGTCGGTGGAAAGGGTGGAGGAGGTGGGTCCAGTTGTCTATGGAGAGGGTTTGGTTGAGGGGTTTGGAGAGTGGACAAGGGGAGGGCGAGGGGGAATGGGGGGATAGCATCTTGGTTGTGCTGGCCGAATAGCACCCGTAGGGTATTGCGTCGGGGATGTTGAGGTAGATTGAGTACCAGAGTTTGTTGTAGATGATGTGTCGGGAGATAATCCATATGACGACGAAGACGATGAAAGCGACTGTGCAGGAGCGTTCGTAGCGGAGGTATTTTAGGATCTTTGCGAACTGTTTTTTTTTTTATTTTTTTTTTATAAGATGCATTGGTTAGCTTTTGGGAAGGTGGGGTGGGTTTGTATGGAGAAAAGTTTGCAGGAGAGAAGTTAATCTTACCGGTAGCACGTAATCTACAATATCCATGATGCACAGGACGACATTCGCGACATTGTAGAAACCATACACATAAGCGGAGCCCAAGAGGGCGATTGTGACGATGTGGTGGACTAGCATCTGATAGTAATCTTTCCTCCTCTCCTCAATGTTGATGACGAGGAGCTGTTGGAACCAGAACGACAGCTGCGTCAGGCAGTACCATTTGAAGGAGTAGGTGATTACCCTGGAAGGCCAATCGGTCCATAGTTCGCGGAAGTCATTCCAGTATTTTGAATTGTACCAGAGGCACTATACAATGGCAAAATTAGTCACGATTCAAAACATGCCAGAATGTGTAAACTTAAAACCAAGGGTGGAAGGGAAAAGAGAACAAACACACCATTCCATAAGTCCAAAAGCCTAAATAATAAACGAGAACCCAGCCTTGCTCCGCTAGCCTACGAGAGGCCTTTTGTTTCAATCCGCTACGTTGTGCAATGGGCTGGAAGAGCCATTCGATAGCAATGGCTCTGATGGCGGTGAAAGCTAGAATGGCGCTAGAGGAAAAATATATATCATCCCAACCCTGGACATAGGTACCCTTTTCCGGCTGGTAGTGGGGCAATTGCAAGAAAGGGGAGGTGTATGGTTTGAGGGAAGGATAGAGGTTGTGGAGGGCGAATATCATTGTGAGAATGGTGACACAGATGCCTATTTGACTTATTTAGTTTAGTCATTTCTATGAGCATTGAGGATAGGGTAGTGCGTGGAGCGTGGAGCGTGAAGCGTAGTGTGCTAGAGTAAGTAGAGCATACCTATCTGGTTCTGCAGCACCCATTGTCGAAAAGAGGTGTTTTTCTTGACCATCCGCCGGCCGTCGAGGGGAGAAACGCAGGCATTGACTTCGGACACAGAATTGGGCCTACTGGATAGTGTTTTGGCCATTGTGGAGGTACCTGGGTAGGTATGGGAAAAGTGGCCACCCCTGAAGGTCAACCGTCAAGCCACAGAGAAGGTCGAACGAGGGGCGGAACTCGGAATTGACTGAAGTTAAAGATTGTATAGTGCGGTTGAGAGAAAATAGTGGGCGGGGAGGGAAAATGTATGGACTGGAATTTGGGTCGTACGGGACCGCCGATATGGAAAGTGGTGGGGTGTAAAATATATCTATATTCGCCCGAGTGAGTGGAGGGCCCGAAAAAAATATATGTCTTGAGAAGCCCGGAACTGGCGGAACCGGGAGATGGAGATAGGTAGGTAGGTATATTTGCGATTGTGAGTGTGGGATAATATTTCGGTGAACCAGTGACGATATTCACCCAGATGACCAACCCGAGAGATCTGGTTGGACGGGGGAGCTACGGGCTATTTATCAAACAAAAGCTGGTGTTAGTGGGATACATGGATGGATAGAGATGGAGATGGGGCAGAGACACGAGGGAGTTTTACTTACAGAGACAGCTGGTCCAATTGATTGAGAGAAGAGGGAGAGGGAGAGGGAGAGGGGAGGGAGAGGGAGAGGGAGAGGGAGATGGGAGATGGGAGATGGGAGATGGGAGATGGGAGATGGGAGATGGGAGATAGCGCTAGGCAGAGACAGAGGCAGAGGGCAGAGGCAGAGAGGAGTGGAGAGTGGAGAGCGGAGAGTGGAGAGTGGAGAGTGGAGTGGAGGGGGAGAGGGGAGGGAGTCGGTGGCGAGTAGATATTTCGTTGAGGAGTTAAATTAGATAAGGAGTGGCGAACCGGGAAGAAAAAGAGATTCCAACGCCGTATGAAATGAGGAGAGATGGCCAGTATTGCTCTCATGATTGTTATTTGATTAGGATATTGACTCCAGTACTTTTACTTTGCTGGCTATCTTGGTTGTCCTTTATGGCGTGGCTATAGAGATGAAGCTCCATTTCTTCAAGTTCCCCTGTGCAAAAACTAAATAATCCGTTGCAAGGATGGCCGTGGACTGCGGTGACATGTACCCGATACTTGGGCACCAGACAACCCGGCGCGTAGACGCAAGTACCGAATACCCGATGCTCAACAAAGGAGCAACATCCCTCCCCTTCCTCTCATTCAATGATTGATCTATCTCTCTTGAGGGTTGTTGTGCTGAGTTGTTGGATCTTCGTTTCCGTCTCTAACATGTTTCTTCAAGTTTCCCTGACCCATCCCTCTTCCTTATTTCCTTTCATTCATGCGCATCCTGCAGAGATCCTGTTCATGTGAGAAATGCGTGTCGTATTTGACATTTTACTTTCCCCCGTTCTCAACACATCTGAAAATCATTTCGTTCCCTCAAACCCGTGGCTATCTATCTATCTATCTATCTTGTGATTCGCCTCGGTTCCTAATGGCGGCCTGTCACTGGTTCTGTTACCCATGAAGCTGTTCCTGGCCCGTGTCTGTTGGCTGGAACCTTGTATTCAGGCCTGAGTCTGCACCTTTGCCACACCTTAAATATTTTTATCCATTTTCCGCCGTTGGGAAGAACCCATCATGCCCCCACCCAGACTTCTGATGCCGTGGCTAAATACCGCATATTCGAGGGTTTTGCGTCAAAGACTCAGAGTCAACAGAAATCCACCCGTTGTCTGTAGAGCCAGGGCTGAAACAGCTGGAAGAGCCTTTTGGTATCTATGTTGTAAAAAAGAAAATTAAAATAATTCAAATCTCATATCTCTCTACTTGTCATTTTCATTTGCATTATTTTGATATTCCGCTTTATCTACTGACGTAAATCATGCGACCATGAATTAATTGATCATTTAGTTAAGTGTTGATTAGAGCGGCTTCATATGTGGAATTGGATATTCCTTGTTGATATTAATGTAAATAGCCTCCCTCCTCATTAACGAACATCCAACCTTCAACACCACATGTAACCCTCATCATCATCATCGCCATCTTCTTCAACAACACAAGCCTCTTCTCCTTCTCCTCCCCTCCTCTCCACCGTCATGAACTGGTCTCCGTCTCCATCAACATGAGTAACTACGATACGTACGTCCCATTCCCCCAAACCCGGGACAACAAACCACTCCGTCCCAAACACTAACCAGGAGAACCCCTCCCAGCTACAAAACCTTCCTCATCATCCTTTCCCCTATCCTCTTTCGCCAAGCGAAATCCCTCTATAACTACCTCCGCACCTCTCTCTCCCACCGCCCTCCACCCCACCCCGTTCCCCACACCGCCGCCCGCGCCCTAAACCTCCTCTTCCTCACAACCACGCTCTTCCTCCTCCTCTCCCTACCGACCTCATCAGGCCTCAACCCCTTCCCCCCAGCCGAAAACATCTTCACCCTCACCTCCTCCCGCCTCAACACCCCTACGGAAATCCTTTTTTCCCGCCTCGCCCGTCAACGCCCAAACAACACCCTCTCCCAAACAGACACTATTCTAAAGGCAAAATTCACCTCCCCGACCTCCCGAAAACTCTACCTCCGCTTCGGCCCCGAAACCCTCACCACCTGCCCCTTCTGCACCCCCGATAACGAATCAAGCTATCTCCTCTACTACCTACCCACAAATACCTTCCTCCCCCACCTCCTCCACCTCCTCATAACAGGCTTCATAACCTCCGAACCCCTCACGGGACCCTCTGCCTCCCGCTGGCGCGCCAAATTCACCCTATCCGGCCTCTCCCTCCTTCTCCTCGAAACCCTCCTCGTAACAATCTACAACCCCGCCTCCTCCACAAACCCCGCAAACACCAACCCACAAATCGTCCCACCAAGCTTCCACACCCGCCTCACAACCGCCCGCTACCTCTCCTTCACCCTCACCAACGCCCTGTACGCCCTAATCATCTACCTCTCCTCCACACACCGGTTCTTCTACATCCCGCCCACCCCGTCCGAAATCGCAGAGAAACTCGTGGCGAATGTCTCCGCGACGCTAGCGGGGACGACGGCCAAGATGCATGCGCTGAGCGTGGTGCGGAACGCGACGGTGCGGGATAGGGCGTTGAAGGGGAGGGATGATGCGTATTGGACGGCTGTGGTGGAGATGGAACGGGTGGATAATGATGAGGGTGAGGGTGAGGGTGAGGGTGAGGGTGAGGGTGGGGGTCGGGGTGTAAGTATTTGGGAGGAGGAGGAGGTTGTTAGGGCTATGACGAAAGTTATGCAGGGGAGGGGGGGTGGAGGGGCTGGTGAAGGGAAGGAAGGGGCGGTGGATATTGCCCGGTTGGGTATGGAGGCGAGTGCGTATGTTGAGGGGATTACGGAGGGGTTGGAGATGGAGGGATGATTGGGATGAGGGGAGTGGGAGTGGGAGTGGGAGTGGGAATTAGGACAATCCATCTTTTTATGTTATTTTATGTTGTTCTATGGTTCTTTTTGAATTTCTATGTATTTCTTGTCGGTTCAGGTAGGGATTGAATTTTTTTTTTTCTTTCTTTTTTTCTTTTTGCTCGCTGATTTCGGAGGTAGAGAAAAGGGATAGGTAGGTGTACGAAAAGAGAATTCAACACAATTGAATGTTACTTTCCTCTAGGTATTTGGGTTTTGCCGGTTCTATTTTCGCTATGGGGAAAGGAACGAGGGGATGCACTTTTTTCTTTTTACCTTTGACACGAGGAAAGCAAAGGGATAGACCGGTCAAAGAAAGAATGAAAAGAAATCATTAACCATAAACGACCTCGTATGGAGTACAGATTGGTTGGAGGGAGGACGGGAAAGGGGGAAAAGATGTTAAAAGAAACCCCATTATATGCAAGCATCGACAGCGTAACTCCAGCTCCCCCCGGGTAGTAGGGAAACAACAAGACGCCCAAACTCGCACGCAAACTAGCAGATTTATCCGACAGATTAAACTACAGCAGTTACACTCTCAGCTCAAGAACAAAGGAAAAAGCAAAGAGATTTATGCTCAATAGACTGGCAGGTAACCCGTTTTTCTCCCTCTTCTCAAAAACATACAAAGGGAAAAACTCGGTTATATCCTCTCCCGCTCCCAACCTGACTGGTGCGCTGGATGGTATGCTAAATTCGGTGGTCCTATCATTTCCGGGCTCTTCATCTCCGGACTCCCGGCTTCCCACTTAGCGAACTGTTCGCTCTCGCTGTTTCCTTTTGATGCATTTGTGTTCACCGGGAATCGCGCAGGTCTGTCAGCCCGCAGGGAAGAGGAGCGCGTGGTGTTTGATGTGAGAGAATGGTTAGACTCAGATTTCGTGCGGTGGATGGGCAGAACGGAATCATTGTGGCCCATTATGAAGGATCTGAGGCCCCTGTTGCTCTTTTTGTTATCGTAGTCGTCGCTGTTTCTGTTGGTTATGGCGTCGAGGTCGATAGCGCCGTGGGTTCGGATGTGTCGGGCTGTGACGCCTTGTTTTTTGACGCGGTAGATGAAGTTCTGTGGTTTTTGTTAGTTTTCCCTAAAAAGATATAAGATGTAATTTGAAATGCTTTTTTTTTTTACCGTGATAATGTTAATGAATCCGAAGACTATGATGACAATGCCGGAGGCAATGACGATTCGCCAGAAGGCGATACCCAGGGTTTCTGAGGCCAAGTCTTCTCTGTTTAGACAACCTAGAGTCATTATGCCGAGGAGAACCATTGTGACTCCGAGAGCGAGGAAGCCTGATTCCGAACCGAAAACAGGCCAGTGACTGACAAAGTACACGGGGAATAAGTTTACTTCGGTGAGAATGAGGAAGACTATCCTTATCGTCAGGCTATGACATAAGGGAATGAATTTAGCCAGGGGGAAGAAACTACGACTTACTGCTGATAAAAATGGATATCACATTTGTCATCGCATCGAAAACGAAAAAGTTGCTGACGAGGGATGTCTTGACCAGCATGACCGTACAGGCAGCGATGACAGATAGGAGACAGATTATGTTTAAGACACGAATGGCGTTCAGAATGATATATCCTGGGCCAGCCAGGGATCGCTTAAACGCCATTTTTTTTTTTTTTTGGCTGATTGCCGGTGGACGAAAAAGACGACTGCTCGATTTGATCGGCTTGGGTTTGAAGGCTCCCGAGCCTTTTAAAAGGAATGCTAGCAATGTGCAAGAGTAGATTCGACGATACCAGCGGGATTCGCAAAGCAGGTCCGAAGCAGGATATTGAGCGGTTGCGTTGGAGCAAGGAGGGATTAAGCAGAAGATTAGAAGAAAGCAGCAGAGTCAGAGACGTCAAGCATTGAAATGATGGAAATAAGCAGCAGCAGGAGCCCTTTTCCTGGCTTTGAGAAGGCTATTGAAGATGAATAATAGTAATAATTCAGAGAATTGAAGCAGAGGTGTTAGTAGAGTAGCAGAGAATTGAACATAATTAAAAGCCGTTGTTGCCTTCGAAGGCATCATCCAGTCAAACTTAGCACATAAGTTCGAGACAGGACAGTTAATAGAATATAGAATGGAAATGAATCAAAGAAGGAGTGAGAAGATGAAGAAGAGTGAAGAAAAGAAAGAAAACCAGATCAATGGGCGCTGAGCGGAACACAGCAAAGAAAAGCCGAAAAAAATATACATAAAAAAGGGACGAAGAAGAAGCTTCATGAAGGTTTCTGTTTCATGAAACATGAGTAACGGTGAATACCGAGCAACAGTAGCCATCGACGTCTCTTCCCGCTAGTGACTAGATTCCACACAATAGAGACCAGTCACTGGCCGACCCACGCTGTGTTGATCATGATTTAGTACACCCCGTTCTGTCATATTTGAAGACCCAGATATTGGGGTGGAGGATCCTTTTAGTGACCTCATTGGCGCCAACTTATTTTAAGGCACCCATTCACCTAGAAGGGCGGGGGAGAGTAGGAGAACAAGAGTGTCATGTTTCATGAGATCCATCCGCAAGCCCAGAATATTGGGCAGCATGAATTGGAGCTTGCAAAAGCCTTGCCCGCTAGCACCACGACATCCTCAGGCGACATGGGAGGGAGTGGACAGCAGCGACAGTTACCGATGAAGCGAGTTTGCAGTGATGAGGTTGGATGAAACAAATGTTGAAGGAATGTTGTGGAGCAGAGCCGCTTGATTGGTCAGCAGCAGACTTGCGGGGCTTTTACCCGCCAGGGGAGTGGTCACGTGGGAGCGGCCAGCGCCAAGAGAGCTTGAGAAGATGAGGCACTGGGCAACAGAGTGAGCAAACTTGATAGAATGAGAATCATGGGGGATTTATTTTAGCATAGATGAAAGCGCCAGCCAGTAACTAAACATAGAAGCAACCTGATTCGGCTTCTTCCAGTATCTACCTGTTGTTAATTCGAGCTTGGTACTTGGAAGCCTCTTTGTCCATAGATTTGGATTCAAATGTTCATTGTACCTGAAACTTATCCATAAGCTAACTAACTAGTTAGATGGCTTAGTCATGGCTTAGTCATGTATCCATGCCGACTGGCTCATTTCTTGTTGCGAGTACCGTCCAATAGGTAAACCACTAACTCTTAATTTTCTCTGCTGTCTGCAGTGGTTGTATTTTATCTGAATAGTGCATTTCACCCGTCCTGCTACCGGCATCATGGCCCGTGGAAACCAGCGTGAGAAGGCCCGCGAGAAGACCCAGAAGGAAGCAGCTCAACAGGTAAATGACCCACTGATCCCTCGCGCTGTCGATTGTCTATCCATGAAGCATCCTATTACAAAGCATCCAGCTAACATGTGTCTGTTTTTTTTTTTTTTTCCCCGCAACAGAAAAAGAAAAATACCCAGTCTGGCACCGAGTTTGCTCGGACAAAGGAGGCCCAGGCAGCCATTATGCGCCAGAAGCAAGAAGCTGGTATGTCTCCTTCGATTCCAACATGCTTGCTGAAACATGCAATATATCAGATTGATCCTATCTCGAACCATGTGTTATATCCTGATTATCATTATAATCTACCACTGTTTGTACCTCTCTCAATCCTCTATTAGTTTTCCTGGATGGTCTTCCCTTCGTCTTCATTCATGAGACATAATTTTCTTTTTGTCGATGATTGTTAATACAAGATTAAAGTCGAAGAAACTAACCTTCCCGATAAAATAGCAAACGCCAAAAAAGCCGCTGAGGCAGCCAAGAAGAAGTAAATCTACACAGCTCCCTAAAACTCGTCTCAAAATCCAATATAGATTGCGAATGGGTGAGGTGGAACACTTCAAAACAACCTGCTTATCCGGGATTGATTTGTTTCTTGAGCACGGTCAATAATGATATATATAATTGCTCCACCACAAATGTTTTCTACCCTGAGATCAGACAAGGCCGGTTGATAACAGGATGCAATCTACTGAATATGGGAAGAAGTGCTGGCGGGCGGGAGGCTGAAAGTGCAGATAAACAGAATCATTTCCTGCTGAGCTAAAGGCAGAAGGTTGTGTAGTTTCTTTGGCTTTGGAAAGGATCATGAGGGATATTGTTCTTTATCACTGTTGTTTTAATTTTGACATGAACTTATGAAACTTAGGTTAGATTTTGTGTCTCCTTTTATTTTCAAATTTAGCGAAGGCGAGGTCTATTTCAGCTACAAGAATAATATGAAAACATCTTCCCAGTTATCCGGTTTTCTTTGCTGTCGAGTCTTTCAATTGATGGGCATGTCTGCCAGTGATCTCAGTTTTCTTTTGAAAGATTATCACCCCTTTAAGAAATTGCTGAACCACTATCCTAATTTGTTTTGTGCATCTGCTTCTGGTTCCAGCGATATTCTATACGTTGTTGACGATTTTAATTCCCTCCCGCAGTTTGCAAACCATCCCGGCTTCCCTTTTCCTATTTTACACCCAATAACATGTCGATAATTCCCAATCAAATACTATTCATATGCCCTTTCCTTCCATAAACGTGATGCCCAGGTTTTAATTGATTTCTAAACTCCACCCGTTATCTATAACGGCTGTAGTTGTAGTAACATTCCAATTCAGGCCGCCTTTATTCTACCAACCCACCTCTTCCACCGCTTATCGGAAGTCGAGGAAACAGACATGGCAACAGCTACCCCATCTATGTCAACAGGCCCACCTCCTACACTCGAAGACCGTTGCTCTGAACCTCGACTCGGAGACCCACCTCCCATAACCCAATCCACATCGATCCCAAAACTGCCCGCAGCAAGGTCAACAAAGATCCACAATCCCTCCCCGTCCCATCGAACATCCATACCAAGACGCGCAGTTTTCTCCACGACTACCTCCCTTAATATTCTCACATCATCGTCATCGTCATCACCCACAGCCTCAAGCAACCAAAGCAAAAAGCTCCACGCAGAAATATCCCGCCGATGCGAATATGTCATGCACCATGAATGCACCGACTCAACAGCCATCCGCGCCAAATGACATAACAGTATTGGTTGTTGAATGGTTGCTCCAGCAGGCCACCGCGCAAGCCCGAGCGCATCAGCAAACAGGCCCAGAAATTCGCGCAGGTAGCTAAAGGCGTAGTAATTCTTCGGATGGTGGGTGCCCGCTTGCAGCACGACGGAGATTTCGTAGTTTAGGATTTGATTTACTGCTGCAGCAACATCGATGCTGGGAGGGAACTCCAGCTTCGCAACGCCACCGTCAGCGTCATAATGCGGTAGATGGTGCGAGCCTGCGAAGACGGAGATGGGGTTATCAGGGCAGATATTGAAGAGTTGTGTAATGGTCCATTTCCGGTGGTACCATAGTACGGGGGATTTAGTGTGGCGGTGTAGTGGGGAGCGGAGGATTGTGGTGGTAAATGAGATTTCGGTGTGAAGGACGGAGAGGTACTGGTTTATGGAGGGGTTAGAGGTGGAGTTGGGGGTGCATTGCGATTGTGCTTCTTTCAAGGCGCAGAGTCTGCGCTTGCGCCAGTTGCAGGCTGTTAAGTGTTCCGAGTCGACGAGGAGGAGGATTTCGGTTTGGAGGAGGAGTGTTTGGGAAGAGAAGTCATCGTTCAAGGAGGGATTGGGGTTAGCGCTGGGGGGGGGTTGAAAGGGATTGCCCTGTTGTATTGGCGTCTCCGGCGCATTGCATCCTTGGCTGCTGTTAGGTTTAGAGAGATGAGACTGCGACTGCGACTGTTCTGTAGTTTCCTTGAGCCGTGGCTGCTGTGGGGGAAGAGAGAAAAATATTTGCCGGGCCTTTATGAAACATTGCACGAGGGCTTTCTTGCTGATTCCGATCTCCGCACCCTCGTGGAGTAAGTCGCCGAAGCCCTCAGGAAGGAAATGGATGTCATATATCTGGTTATTTCTGGCCGCTAGAAACTTGGTTAGTGTCCCGTGGTAGTCTTCAGGCGAGCCCATCTGAATATTAGTGGATATATCTTCATGAACTGCTGTTCAAAGAGTTGGATGCGGAGGTGAAGGTGCGGGGAGCTATGAGAATCAAAGGCAGAAAAATAAAGACAAGCAGTACAAACAGTGCAAATATTCCTCTCTCCCCAACCGCATTCATTAACTAACTATAGTTAGTTAATATGTTCAGCAAAAACAACAACTGGCCAACTCTTGAGGAAAACGTCACAACTCTTCCCTGCATACCTAGCAGATATATATCTTACGTACTACATCCCTTTGTGGGAGAATACACTCCATTGTAACTATGAATGCCTGATCCAGAAAACTTTGCAAAAACACACCATACCCCTATCCTGCCTTTACGCCAATGCTAAATCCCGAACATACTGTTCCTCTATGCAACACAGTCGAGGCCTCCACACTGAATCACTCCCTTAACGAACGACATGATGCATGAAACCAAAATGCCCTCTCTACTCATCAGCGTTCTATTCCTTCATATTGCCATTTACATTATCAATACTATTGCAGCTTCTACAATTGATAGCCTGGTATGAGACTCCTCAGCCCGCCGATACCTTGACTCTAGGGTGCCCCACTCCTCCCAATCTGTCCGGAAGGGGATGGTAATACATGAAATCTACATCTGCTCTGTAATAACCACAAGTATAACGTTCATCTTTACAGCTATGGCTCATCTACATGAAACTGCCAACCAGCGCATCCTGCATCGCCAGAGAACAGCACCAGATGAAACTGGAAGTAGTGCAACTGAAGCGCGAAATGAACGCAACAAGCTCACAGGACGAGTTTGCAAAATGGGCCAAATTACGACGACGCCATGATAAGGCGTTAGAGGAGTATGAAGTTAAAAGTATGTTCTTGTTTTATGGAGATCGTATCCCACTCGAATCCTTACGTCGGGAGACCCGCGTGCTTGTTGAAATGGAGAGGAAAATTAGTTGCTGGATGCTGTTAAATCATTCATCCACCAAACACGGCAATGCTAATCTGTGAAACAACGAAACAGACAAACAATTCAGCCGATTCAAATCTTTCTTCGACGTCGCTGTCAAAGCCCTCCGCTGGGCAGGGACCTCCGGGTTAATAGTCTTCCTTCAGTTCTGGTTCTCCAAGACGCCGATTTTCACATTACCTCCCAGCTGGATTCCATGGCAGGTCGAGTGGGTATTGTCATTTCCCCGCGCACCGATGGGAACTGTGAGTATACAAGTCTGGGGTGGTGCCTGTGCTGTGGTGGTTGCTTTGATAGGCGAGGCGATCGGGGCTACAGTGAGATATTTATATGCGTCTAAGGACTCAATGGAAGCGATAAAGGTTGGCGCTGGTGCGGTAGAGAAAGAAAAGAAAAGACAATGAGCGGGATGACTATGACAAATACGATGGCTTTGAGTTTTGCCATGTGCCAAGTAAATACAAGATATTCATGTCTGATATCACTGTGAAACTAGTAGTATTCATTGTTTAGAAATTATATATATATATATATATATTGAAGCAAGCAAAATCAAAATGTACATTATTAATTATTCCTCCATATATATGTCCATCAGATATATTTTTAAATCATTTGAGTCTTCAAAAGCTCTTTGAGCCTCAGTGCTTGACTCTATGATACGCATCATCACTTGAACCTCAACAAAGAAAAGAACCCACACCCACCCTCACTCTCCCACACAAAACAAGCAAAGTAATAAATAAACAATGAGACAAGTCTGGCCCATCCGACAAGGCTTCTGCGATGAGATCCCCCCCAGAAAGGAGAATAAACGCAGAACCTCACCACCGCTTTCCATAAGCTACAGACCTTTGGCATTAAAAGGGGGTAAAAGAAGTGAACTCCTCGCCTCAAGAATAAGCCCCATCGAGTTACTCAAAAATCATACACACACCCTGTTAAAGGCGTATATACAAAAAAAGAGCAATCGCATGACTATCCAACCACGACGAATAGCAACCAATCCCCGCCAGCAAAAACTGGCCCATCCAATCCAGCCACCATTGTTACCTCAGCAGAAATCGAAACTTCTGCAAAGTCGGGATGGAAAGGGGAGGTCTTCCTCCTTAAAGAAAAGAGAAGAAGAAGAGAAAGGCATTAAGCCGCAATGAAATATGCTTCTATGGCGGCGCGTTTCCGCATTGCCTGGCTTTTTGGTAACAAAAAGAACCCCGTGGGTGAAAAGCCCGAGGGCGCAGGGTGTCCGGGGACTTTCTCCCAAAGCTAGAGGGTGTGGTTTGAAGAAGGCCCTGAGAAAGGCTTTCTTCTGTGCGTAAGCTTTGAATGCGATTCTTTGAGCGAGGAGTTGAAGAAGAGGAGAACAAAAAAGAAAAAGACGAGGAAGGAAGAGGCTCAAATATTTCAGATTATAACTTTTGTGGTTGGATGGGGGCTAGAGCGTATGCAGTTAGGCTGTGTATCACGTGATAATGTCTTGGCAGGAGAAGGCATTTCGGTGGAAGGTTTCTCAGATCAAGGGAGTTAGTTAATAATTAAGCGGTGCGGAAAATGGTGTGGAGACTTCAATAAGCCAAACAAGATCGGTCTTCTCAATTGCTGCATTTAAAGCTATGTCCTGATGTAGGGTGAAAAGTCCGGTTCAGCTCACTATCTCAATTTTGCTTGAATATCCCCAACGGCTGTAGGGAAAATGCGAAACAAGAGTTAGTTAGGGCTTGAACCGGAGAAAAGAGCGGGAAAACGGTAAGGTATTCTTATCCTCAAAATTCACGTCCAAGAACATCGAATATATTAAAGGTAAAAAATGAAGAAAAAGGAAAAGAACACGCCCGTCATCCATATAAACAAGGGTCAAGCGTCAACAAGAAAATCGGCCACAACTACTCCAACCTATGCATTGCTCTTCTTCCCCTTAGACTTCTCTTCCTTCTTCTCCGACTTCCCCGCTGCTGCAAGACTAGCCTTGATCTTCTTTTCCTTTCCCAACTTCTCGGGGGTATCTACCTTGACCTTCTTATCCTTCGATGAAGCTTTACCATCCTTCTTCTGCTCCATATCCTTCGTCTTCTTCCCCTCCTTTACAGGGGTATCCTTCTTCTCCGCCTTCTTCTTCCTGTCCTTCTTTGCTTTAATTGGCGCAGGCTTCACCTCTTCTACAACTCCAGATACCAGCTCAGCCTTCTCCGCCTCCTTCTGAGAAGCCTCAATAGCAGCCGGCTCTTCAGCGCCCTCTACCTCCCCCCGCCCCTTCCCCTCAACATCACGAACAACAACAACCTCCTCAACACCCTTCAACACCGGCATCTCAAACTCATACCCAAGTTCCTTCATCTTTTCAACCCTAGCCACCCTCCTAGCCTCCTCCTGCTTAATCTTCCTCGCCCACTGCTCCCTCGTCTTTCCTGCATCCAACCTACGCCTCTCGATAGCGTTCCATGGCGTCTTCTTGAACCGTCTATTCGCCCCCTTCCACAGCTGCGGATGCACATTTTCCTGCGGCACGAACTTGCATTTTAAAATATGTCCAAACATGAGATAGTTGTCCATTGTATCGGCGACAATTTGCGCGACGGAGGATGACGCGAACTCGATGAAGGCGAAATGCTTAGAGCGGCCTGTGGTGCGGTTGCGGGATAGGCGGAGGCGGGTGATGGGCCCAAATTGGGAGAAGTAGGCGCGCATTTCGTGCTCGTAGAAACCGTGCGGAACTCGGCTGTAGTTCATAGATTATTAGAAGGGGAAAAAATTAGAATCTTTTCCACCCTTTGGAAATGAATGAGCGAACTTACCCAACGTAGATAGTACCTGGTTCCTGCGTTTCTGTGCCTGTTTTCTTCATCTTGCGCAGTCTCCGCTTCAGCTGCTTCGCATCCGGGATGGCTGGGATCTTCTTTCCAGGAGCAAATCCTTCGTCACCAGATACATCTTCATCACCGCTGCTATCAAATCCTTGGATCAACGCAGCCGTCTGGTCATCATCATATTCTTTTTCCGCTGCGCTTCCCTCATTCTCATCCTCTGCAATTTGCGTGTGTATTTCCTTGGAAGGCTTTATGTCAACTTTACTCTTTTTGCTCACTTTTGAAGTGCTCAAAATTTCCTCCTCAGTGTCCACATTTGTCGCTGCCTTTTTAGTGGAAGATGCGGAAGCAGTTTGAGTCTCAGCTCCCTTCTTTGACTTCTTCTTGCTAGGTTTTTCAAGGTCTTTATTGATGGGATTTGTTGCGACAGGAGAAGACATGACTGGCTTTTTCTTGCTTTCCTCGAGATCACCTTCTTCTTCTTCACTCATAAAGTCCGCCGCTCGTTTCCGCGGCCGGATCTGTCTTGCGGGTGCACTGGTAACTTTCACCGGAACAGCCTTGGGAGAATCGCCATTGGTAGCCTCTGCGGATTTGGACTTCTTCAAGATTGGCTTTGGTACATTCTCATTCTCATGAGTTTTAGCCAGTTTAGACACTGACTTTTTCGACTTTTTCGAGGGCGGGTCCGCGGGTGTTGGGGCAGAGGTAACCGCAGCTACGGAAACAAGATGTCAGTGAGAGGGGGGAAAAAAATAACAAGGAACAATAGAATAGGAGCAGACAGCAACTAGGAAACTAACCCTTGCGCTTCTTGTCCTTCTTCTCTACGGCCATTGTGTCAAATGTTAGGGGAATTCGGTCGATTGAGACCCCAAGAGCTGTGTTAGTGGTTGGGTGGGATACTTTTGAAATATAATTTTTGTTTTTTTTTCCAATTTTACTTGGTTATTTAATGCCAAGACATACACACCAAACTCAACACAGTTAGTGTGGATTAGCTTTTGCATAGAATAGCTCCAGGAGAAAACACCAATATCAAACATTCAAGAACCATATCATAACCAGACGCAACAGTACAATGGGCAAACGAAAACGGCCCAAGAGGAAGCTGCTGACTCAGGAAGAAATATGGGACGATTCTGCCCTGATCCAATCATGGGACGACGCAGTGGAGGAATACAATGTATGTACCTTCACAAGGTAGACATCCCTTAATGCACGTGATGTGATGCGTTCTGACACTCTCGGTTTCAACCAAGCTCTACCACAGCATCCAAGCCAGGGGTGAGAATGTAGACGATGTTCTAAGAGAGGAAGAAGCCAGGGCCCGAGCTGCTGAAGTCGAAGACGGGCAGCAGGCTGTTGGCGAGTCCCAGCCACATGTTGACACTGATGCTGAGCCTAAGCCTGACCAGGGGGTTAATGGCGGAGAGATGGAGATGCCGCCGGTATGTTCACTCCATCATTCTATATTTTTGGTTGTTTGAATTGTGTCTCTTTGGCATGGAATGTCAGATGCTAACTTCTCAATATGGCCCAGGCTTATCTTCATGGAAAACAGGATGAGATGGAGGCTCCCAGCACCCAGGCACAACCAGAAGTTAACCATACCGCCAGTGGATGGTTTGCCAATATGCCCCAGCTGGTGGCTCAGGGAGGAGGTGACGCAGCTGGTAAGTTGCTACTTCAACGTTACAAAGCGTGGCTGTGCACTCGATCTAATTTGGAATTAACTGACTTGATTAGGTGCGGACGAGGGATTGAAAAATCTTATGATGGCATGGTACTATGCGGGTTATTACACGGGCCTCTACGAGGGACAACAACGGTCAAATCAGCGCTCATGATTTATAAAATCCCCCCCCCCACTCCTCAATGCCTTCCACTTTTGATTATTATTACGTCTGCATCTGTGCAGGACGTTCGTTGAAGTGTCAAAGCTAAAGGGGTGCCTATCATATTGTGATTAACCCCGTTTTGGAGGTGTTCCATGCATTCTTGAGACAGGAACAGTTCCAAATCCAGGGCGACCGGGACTCCGTAAATGGAAATCTATCTATCATTTCCCCTTGGGCTATTACCTGATGCGGAAGAATGGGGAATGTCGGGTCAGATTCCAAGACAAATCAGGAGTAGTGAGTAAATTTGACGTCCAAGAGTGGATTGGGTAGTCGTGGACAAAGACTCGGGGGCGGGCAACTGTCATCAAAGTCTGGGAAGCTGATAGCAAGGGCATGGAAGCGATGGATGACGCTGATGGGGTACTTGGATCACCCAATCCCTTCAACTAAGTGCAATGACCAGCTGTTCATAGATCTATCCGGAAATGAACAGGACATGTTCTATTCAAATTGCTTTGATGTTGAGAGGGAGTGTAGACTTTACGCAGCTAAATATTATCACAGAATCACACCCAAGATTAATTACAGCTTCTCTTTTACACCTCTTTTCCTCCGTCTGTGGATGGGAGTCAGATATTCTCTTTTCGTTGTTCGGACGTACATTTCAGCTGTTGAAGCTCTGTCCTTGCTTCGATTAGTTAGTGGAACGCACACCACACATCATCTAGCAAAATCCACACCCCCAACCCTTTAATTAATCTACCAAGAGCCCATCATGAAATTATCAGCATCGTCTAAATCCGCCATTGATTCCATACTATTTGCCATACCGACCCCTCCGGGTCCTTGCATGGGCGACTACTTAGCTGCACCCCGAAACGTGAAGGCTCTAGCATAGCACTAGTTATATGAGACACCAGCCGATACATCTCCAACTTCACCATTGTCAGACCTCACCACATCCGCTTCAGTCCATGCGCCAACAGCATGAGATGGGAGCATGGACAGCCCAAAAGAGTGTCTGGGCGGTTTGACATCGGGATCTATTGGGAAAACCCTTGACGCTCAAATCTCACCTCTCATTCATGCGGGAATTTAAACTATGACTTCTGCCCCTCCTGGAACCTCTGATACTTCTAATTCCTTTCTCCTCTCATTCAAGAATCAAGCGTCTTCATATTTGTCTGTCCTGTTTCTCTAATTATCTTCTATTTTTTGTTCCTTCTTTTTTTTCCCATTCCTCCAGGGAGCTCAAAAATTCCATTCATTCACTCGGCTTTTCAATTTCCATTCCACCTTCACGAGCAGGACCTCGTCCGATCATTTATAACCCAATATATCTTACGCTTTATTTATTTTTAACCAGACTTGACATCTTAATAACTCTGCTTTGGTTCTTGGTTTCCTTGACGGAGTATACAGGAAAAGGACAATAAATCTTAAACAATGGCACGATTACTCGCTTTAACTTCATTCGTAGCAGCAGCTGCTGCAACCAATCACGCTGGAGAATCACCAGGTCTTCCGTTTGTTCTGGGGTACGGAAGCCACAAGGGTGTGGGTGCCGATATTAATATCGGCCACGGAGGCAAAGATAAAGGCTTCGGAGGCCATAATGACGGTTTTCTCAACGGTGGCCAGCATGGAAATATCATTGGTGGTGAAGGAAAGGGCGAGTATAAAATTGGTGGTAATGGGCACAAAGGCCAATCCGTCAATGTGATTATCATCACAACCAATGTTGGAGGGGGCGCAAAGCAAGATGTTTGGAACGAGGCTCCAATGCAAAGAGGAAAAGAGCATTTTGTGCGTAATTACTAAGACCCCCTCTTGAATGCCAACATGTCACTTACCCCATTGTCTCCAATACAGATTACGGTTGGCGGCGAAGCTGGTCTTATATTCGAGCCAGATACCATAAACGCTGCCGTCGGGGACATGGTCATCTTTAATTTCATGTCTCAAAACCACACTGTAACGCAGTCCACCTTCGCCGAGCCATGTTCCAGAATGGCTGCTGGTATCGACTCGGGATTCATGCCAAATCCCAATAATTCCGTGAACCCTGCACCAACTATGGAATTCCAGGTTACGACGCAAGAGCCGGTGTGGATGTTTTGTTCCCAAGGAAAGCACTGCGAGCAAGGGATGGTATTTAGCATCAACCCTACAGCTGAAAAGTCGCATGCCCAGTTCAAAGAACTCGCCATGGCCGGCGAAGGTGGCGGCGTCAGCGTCAGTGCTGGTGTTGGTGCTAGTGCTGTCCCTCCTTCCCTCCCCGCGGAAACTGGCATCGCCTCTTCACCCATTGTTTCTATCTCTGAATCCATATCTGCTTCTATCCCACTGGCTACACTCGCCACTGGAAATGGGCAGATGGGATCTGGAGATGCTTGCTCTTGCTCATGTCTTTGTGGCATGGCATCGTGGCCTGAGGGAGTCGGCCTTGAAGCCCAGGGAGGTATACCTGGTATGTTTCAATCTATCAAAACGGAATGATACAACTCTAACTAATAAACCCCACGCAGGTACTATCCCTGTGGAACGTACTGCGGCCAAGCGGTCTCCTAGAGCCCCCTATTACTAGCCTTCTGAACAGATTTGTCAGATCGCTCTAGCTCCCTAATGATATATGCAAATGAGAGCGAAAAGAAGAGGGGAAAAGATGACCCTGACGCCTCCCCTTTTGTGCATCTTACCGACATGAGTTTTGAGGGAACAAGTGTCAGACAGAGCATTATGATGGGGAAGAGGGGTGAAATTTCCCTATGGAAAGGGTAGCAACTTCTCTTCTTCGACTCGATCTGTTTCTAATTCTAATGAGCTAGGAATGCTCTAATTTTCTGCCCTCGTTTTGCTTCGTCACTGAGGAGAGTTTCGAGGCGAGAAAAGAAAAAAAAAAATCTTTCGACCCCTTCTCCTCATCCCCATCCTGCAGTTCGCAATTCTTGTAATAGAAAATCCTACGGGTGGCAATTCCCCAAATTTTTCTTACATCCTTCGAAGGTTTCATATTTGCCCTTTCTTTCCTATTACCACGCATACGTATATATATATGCATGCGTATATATATATATATGTGTGTGTGTGTGTGTGTGTGTGTGTGTGTGTGTGTGTGTATTTTCTGTTATCGTTCATCATTTATCGCTCGTGTCATTATTTGTATATTTTCTATCCTGCTCTTGCTAGTTTTCCAATCTCACGATGATGTATTTAATTTATGTTATATACAAAAAACGCGGCCTAGGTCCTCGTCACTCATAAGATATCATACTCTTTATACATACATCCTTGTACAATATCCAGAGAGGTACACTGAAATTGGTCTCTTTCCCCCTTTTCCCACATGGAAGACAGTCAGAGAATCAAGTTGTATCCCTGTACACGTACATCTATCTGCCTCCCGGAGGCTGAGTTCTTCACCCAGTTGCCGCTACAATTGCTAAATATCTGACACCTGTAATAATTGATAATGACCCCTCCAAGTGAAAGAAGTTGAAGACAGGAATGCCATATGAATATTTAATGATGACACTGTAAATTTCAGGATCATTTATAATATATCAAAAGAACCCTGAAGGCTGCTCAACGAAACACTATGTATTGAATATCTTGCTCTAGGAATGTCTTTGGTGGTGGTGCAGCTAGGAGGGTTAAATTATCTCCACGAATGCCACTGATACAGGTATTTCTTGTAAATGAATGGTATCAAAGGACTGTCAGTGAAAGGCAGATAATCAATTTTTTGCTCTCAATAAAGTTATATTGTCAACATCGCAAACAACTGCTCAGTATATAACCAAGTAAGAATGTATCTAACTCCATTTGACACGTCATGCTCCACTGAAAACTCTGAAAAAGAAATAAGGCGACGCAAGACAAGAGAGAAAAGCAAAAAGATAAGAAGCAATTGCTTGCTTCTACCTTTTGCAGGATTTTTTGTTGTTGGCATGACTTTTGACCTCGAGACATCATTGTGAAAGGACGGACGAGACTTCGATGATGCCGTGTTATCCTAGACCCTGCTGGGGGGGGCGGCGACCATAGCAAGGTATCTTGTGAAATATATTCAAGGAGCTACTCCCAAGCCTCAGCGAGAGGAACGGGTTATTCGTCATTTGAGGGCTAAAAAGCGATGTTAGTTGTTCGCTTTGACCAGGCAGTTAAAGCTGACATTTCCCATCGGTTCCACTGCAAACATCCGAACTTGTCCTTGATATGTGGTTCAAAAGAAGCCAGGAAAATGCAGTGGATCAATATTCATGGCCATTACCGATCAAACTCCGACTTCATCTCATTGAAATACTGAATGAAAACCAAGATATCAATTGCATAGATCCCAACCCTTTGATTCGTCCCTGTAACCTGTCCTGCTGCCTCCATATATCCGTCTATGCAGTAAGAATCAACAGAAAAGGGTAACAAAGAAAAGGAAACGAATCAAGAGAAATGAAAACTATATATATGCCCAGAAAGCGAATCCATCAGTCGACATGTCACCCGCAACAAAAAGCATTTTGACACCCAAACAACAGCTGGGATTAGAACAGGCACGTTATGGAAAAAAATTAATTGCTCTCGGTCTCCTATCTAAATTTGTAGATGTAATTGGAGGCCACCGAAAAGATCGTAATAGCTACCACAACAAGGGCATGATAGAGACCTGGAATATGTATGGAGAAGAAAAGGGAAAAAAGAAAAACGAGTGAGAAGCGAGAAAATTTCGAGACAGGTTCCAACATGAGGATTAGATAATCAGGGAGGTTTTTCTGTAGTTAGTTACCACGTGATTTTACCCTCGAGAGATTCAGAATTTCAAGGGATTATTTAAATATATATATGCTCAGATTGAAAAGAAAAAGTTCACGATAAGAAAGATGCAAAAGATAAGAGGGTTGGATCAGTAACTAATGAGTATGGAAAAAAAAAAAAAAGAGAAAACATAAAAGAAATTCACTTTGCACCAGCCGTGAATCGAACACGGACCTCTTGCTTGGAAGGCAAGAATCCTAACCATTGGACCACTGGAGCAGCTTAGTTACAGTAGAGCTTCAATAACAGTCTCTTAAGAAGAAAAAAAATGGGAATATACATCCGACCCTGAATTCTACATTAAGTAGATATTCCACAAATTTCACTTTTTTTTATAAAAAAAAAGGCTATAGATGAGTGAGTTTAGCCAAACCTAACTAAGCATTTGATCGCTCGTGGGGGCAAGTTTGTTCGATTGCAAAGGTGATATGTAAATCACGTGACTTAATGGTCCCACATTTCTACTGTTCCCACTTGAACTGCAAGATACATTGGTCTATGGATAACAAGAGCTTGACAGCATCGTTTGACGGTAGCTTGGATCAATCTCCTTCCAGCTTCCGGCACATGTGATATATCCATTCTGTCAGGGTAGCATACTTGTTAGTTACAAGAAGGTAATAACAGATTGTCAGAATCGTGGGATGCTTCATCATTCTTCATGGAGCAATACAAAGTGTCGGTCGGTTCGGCAAGTTAATTAAGGACCACCCGACAACCGCCAGCCGAAGTCCCGAGGCCGGCCAATTCTGTGGTGGAGACATTGGGGGTGGCATGTGTGGCAGTTATTTACGCATAGCCGGGTAACCAGGGGTATATTGAAATCCTGATTAAAAAAATATTAAAAAAATTAAAAAAAGGGGGTAGACTGAATGAGGGTGAGATAACGGAGGTTTGTGCACTTTAGAGTGCGTGGCATAATCTCATTTCATTCAAGTCGTCTAGCTAGATGAACCATGATTGGAACAAGCATGTCAGATGGCGACAAACGAACGGACAAAATAAAAGGGGGGAATGGGCTATATACAGAATGAAGGTGAGGGAAATCAAAACAGCAAAACAGAGGGCGTATTAGGGTTAATCCGTGGAAGATGGCACGATCCTCCAGCAGATAGGGAACACGTCGTTAGAATGCAGATGCCAGCCAGTAGACGAACTTAGCATGGCAACCAGATTATATATACAAATAATATATAAAAGGTCAAAAAAAAAACTTATCCCCTAAAATCTCGAAAGAACCTTATCCTGCGTATCCGAGAGCGCCCACTCACTCGAATTCTCCTTGCTCATAACCTTCCTCGCCTGCTCAACTGTGAAACCCTTCGCAACAACTGCAGGGTTATAGCCCAGCCCATTAATCTTCCCGACAACCTCATCCGACACCGGAGCAGCCACCTTACCATCCGCCCGCTTATAAACAGTAACAACGACCGCACCCCCCAACCCCAAATTATGCTGCAACGCCGCATCTGTCCCCTTCACAAGCCTATTATTCGCCCACCCGCGCAAATGCCACACGAGCTCCGCGCACTGCGCAATCCCCGTCGCGCCAAGCGGGTGGCCCTTCGAAATCAGACCCCCGGATGGATTAACAACCATCTTCCCGCCGTACGTGATATCACCCCTGCGGACCATCTCATGCGCCTTGCCGGGCTCTGAGAGCTCCAGCGCGTCAATCGTCGTCATCTCGTTGGCCGAGAAGCAGTCGTGTAGCTCGCAGACTTTGATGGATTTCACGTCCACGCCTGCTTCGGCGAGGGCGGTGCGGGCGGCGTACCGGGCCATGTCGAAGCCCATCAGGCTGATGGAGCTGGTGTCGTAGACGGAGGGGGCGTCTGTGGCTATTGTCTGGCCTGCGATGAGGACTGCTTGGTCCTTGAGGTGTGGGCGGGCGTCGAGGAAGGATTGGGAGACGATGACGGCTGCGGCGCCGCCGTCGGAGGTGGGGCAGCATTGGAGTTTTGTGAGGGGGTAGTGGATCATGGGGGAGTTGGAGATTTGCTCGAGGGTGTATTCGTCTTGGAACTGGGAGTAGGGGTTTCGCTTGGAGTGCTCATGGTTGATGCGGCCGATTTCGGCGAAGTCGGTGGGTTTGGCGCCGTATCTGGGTTGTTTATTTATCATATTAGTATATAATGGGATATCCCTTCTGGGGGGCGTGCACTGGGGGGTTTATTATATCCTCACTTCTCCATGTACTCAACGCCAGCATTTCCAAACATCTGCGCCGCACCAGGGGCATTAGTGACCCCACGAGTCTTCGCCATCATCTCCCCAAAAAGACCCGTCGGATTCGCGCGGTCATTGAAGTTTGCCGACAAACTGCCCGGATTCATCTTCTCAAAGCCAACGACAAGAACACAGTCCGCAGCGCCATGAGAGACCATCGTGCGTGCCATTGCCAGACCCGTGGAGCCCGTCGAGCAGTTATTGTTGACGTTATAGATGGGGATGCGGGTGAGGCCGAACTGGTAGAACACACGCTGGCCGCAGGTGGAGTCGCCGTAGCAGTAGCAAGCGATGCCCTGCTCGACGTCGTCATAGGAGATTTGGGCGTCCAGCATGGCCTTGACACCGGCTTCGAAACCCAGCTCGGTGTAGTCGACTTTGCCGCGGGGTTTGACGAATTTCGTCATGCCTACGCCTAGGACGTAGGCAGGGGAGGCTTGCTTTTTGGCCATTTTGAATGTATGTGTAGTTCTTTATCTCTCTCTATATATATATATATCAACAAATTGTCTCCTGGAAAGGAGATATTTCAGTTTTCCAGGGGGGAAGCTTTTTGGGATGTTACAAGGGGGGTTGAAGTTAAAATCTATAAGGTAGAGAGAGGCATATACTTGCAGGGTTTGGTAGATGAAAAGGAGAGGAGGAAAGAAATGAAAACCCTCGAGAATGATATAGTTTATTTTTATACGAAATAAGCGGAGTCCAAGAAAGCCGCGGGTAGTTATTTCGATTGCTCAGCTGTTGGGAGCCCCGAGCATCCTCGGTGCCTCGGAGGTTGGAGATGGGTCGCCAGAAACAGTTTAGCTGGTTGAGGCTGGTTAAAACCTCCGCTTCCAGCTATTATTCTATGCGCTGCGGAGTAGGTATGTTAGAATTGTTCAAAGAACAGAGAGAGAGACAAGGGGGATGACGATACGGGATCAAACCAAAACAGAGAAAATCTCTAACTATCAGGTCTAGAAGGTTTCTTGAATAAATAAAAATATAGTTAACGTAATGTATCGGCTTCCCGTGACCCCCAAACAAACTTGGCAAATTGAGGAATTAAGCAACCATCAACTAGAATTTCTCATGTTAAATATATAGATTAGGTCTTCTGTCAGGTTCTAGCAGGATGACCAACTATATTACACTTGCTGCAGCATGGTAGAGCTCGCTTTCTAGGTAGCTAGTTTGAATTCTCTACCCTCTCCTGTATGATTTGATCAATTGCTTGAGCTCTAGCTATTTCTTCCTCAGCTGTTCGAGCTTCATTCTGAGCTAGAAATGTATGAGCTTGCTCCTTCTTGCACTTTTTCTTCTCAACTGCAGCTCTCAGCTTCTTGTTTTCCTTTGCTAAGATAGCAGCACTGTGCATGGCCAGCTGGCATCTCTTAGCCGGTTGAGTTGACTTCCTCCATAACAGTCACCCATTCTCGATTTCCTGGCTGTAAAAAGCACTGGCCTGCCATGTTCCTCAGACTCAGTCACCACCTTCTTAAGTTCCTTATGACATGTAATGAGTCTTTGAATCCATTTTCCCACCACAGAACAGGTAGAGAGTAGTAAATCTGCCATATTTCATACGTTTTCAATTCGAGGAGGCTGACCTCTCTCATCCATGGATATTATCCATTGGACTAGAGATTCTTCTTCTGTAGAGGTCAGCTTTCTATTAGAAAGTTGAGCTTTTGAACGTGTTTTGACTCCCTTGAATTGATCGTGTAGGTTGAGAACGGAGCATCGTACGTTTTGGCAGCAGTCATAATATGTGAAATTTGACCTGTTTTATAGGCCTCAATGGCTAAGAGAAGCCTTCCTTCCTGATTAGAAGCCTGATCTTTTGATTTTGTGGGCATATTCAATGATTTGGTGAATATGTATGGATTTGGATGGAGGAGAGTTATGGAAAGTGATCCATCACGTTAACTAACTTAGTTAACAGTTAACTAGTATGAGAAAGAGATGAATAATCAAGAGGGGGATTGTAGGCTAGTGAGGCCTGGCTTTCCTTGCTCTGCGCGGGCGACAAACTTTGCAGAAATGACAGTGCGTGGATAGAGAGAGCTGTTGGAGAGAGTGGATCGATCACTGGTTATTCGCCGATGAGAAGCCGCTGTCAACCACTGTTCCACGCATAACTAACTATACTGAGCGCTAAGAAATGCAGTGTTGTTCATGTCGACTGTCCCCTAAGTGCATTTTCTTATAAATCCAGCAACTTACAAGCCGAAATATACCCTGGATGATGAACTCTATAGGCAGAGGCTAAACTAATACTGTTAGCCAATAGCTGAATTAGCTGAGCTGCTATTCAACCTTTCATCTCATTGACACAGCAACAGCGGCAGGAAACTGTATAACGTTATTGAAAGGTTTCCGAGTTGAGTAACTAAATAAACAACTGGCATTAAATTAAGAAATATACCAATGTGCCAGTCTCACAGAGTACCCCCATAGGCAGGCCATGTGAGCAATTCTTGACAAAGAATGAAAGCATTATTTAATGCGGAACAGTTCACATTCCCTGCATCCCGTATTCTGCGGTGGGGATTTGGTTGGCAAGGGGTTTTTTGTCGCAGTCTTGACCATTACATGCTTGTGCTCACTAACTAACTAGCCCGTAGTCTGCTGCTTCAATTCAAGCCTACTCCAACCGTAGACTAACTGATTCGGTAGCATTGACAAATGGCATGTAAGGTAAACAGGGCGGGGTTTTCAAGGCCTGTCTGTGTAGGTACGCGGGCAGTCGAAACGGACGGACGGTCTCTCCCAGTGTCCCAAACTCTATCCTTCCCACGCTGCTTGCTGGGATCCTGGCAGGTATTGTTGGGATTTGTTATATATCTGTATACAACCCTTGAAGCGAATTTCTTTGGCGGGGCTTTCTCCAGGGCTTCTGCTTGGACCGGGGCCCCTCCAGCTCACATGCCAGGCTGCCCAAAGCGGGAAAGGTCTGATGTTTTCCCAAGGGCTGCTTGCGATTAAGATTCCTTGGCATCAACCAACTTAACACATCCACAATCCACAATCCACAAACCCATTCCATCCCACTGCCAACATCCTTCCGGCATTCTTCGCCTTCTTCCCTATATACTTCTTCCCTATACGGTCCTTGTTCTTGCTCTCTCCCCCAGCAGGGAATCACCTGAATCACCTGAATTGGACGGTACAGAGATCCATGGATACTCCCCAGAGACATCTTACATGGTTGTCTCGGGCGATTCCATCCATTCCGTAACTAGTCCATAGCTCTTAGTTATATGTGGTCCCGCCGCTTTCCCTCCCCGCTGCCAAACCTCCGTATCACTTCTCTTCCTCCTGCTCTCCTCCTCCTCCTTCTCCTCTTCCTCCTGCTCCTCCGCCTACTCCGCCGGTGCCTCCGCGGCCTCCAACACCTCCACCTTCTCCTTCTCCTTCTCCTCCTCCTCCTCCTCCCCCTCTTTCTCCACTACAATCTGCTGCCTCTACCTCTACCTACTCAACCGTATGTCTGTCCCCTCTGTATATAACCCCATTCTCTACCTGTAGGATTGGACACTTCGTGAGATTCATATTCATTGACTGAATTGCCCTCCGTAGATCTGCTCGTTTTCCGATTATCCATGGTATCGGATATTATATACCTTTCTCAAATATCCCTATATACAGTATCCTTCATAACCTCACCATTCTTATACATGCCCCAGGTATATATCTATATATCCGGATATACCAGAGACACCCCCGTACTCAAGCTCCAGACCGTTTGCTCCCTTTCCCGCACCCCCTGATTGAGTTCTCCCCTCTGTTTCCACCTCAATCGAAGCCGGAAACTGGTCATCCACACTCTCCTCCATGGACAGTTGTGGGACGCTAAGAGGTCTGCTCACTCCTTGCTTGAGAGACCACTTTGCGTTCCATCGGATTCCTTAGTCCATGGCATATCCCGTCAAATGAAGTGAAATGAAAGGGAAATGATACCGTGCTTTCTTCTTCTTCTTCTTCTTCTTCTTCTTCTTCTTCTTCTTCTTCTTCCTCTTCTTCTTCCTCTAATAGTTGTGCTTGCGCGTGTTACCACATATTTTATACGGAGTACGCCATATGCCACATAAACTCATTCTTCCAATTGGAAAACAAGAGGAAATAATGCCATCACTCCACCAACAGGAACACCAGAGCAACCACAATGCTGCCGTTAACCGGACAACAGCTTCTCCCTCCCCAACCCCATCTTCCTCCTCCGCTTCTTCTTTGTCTTCCTCTTTGTCCTCTTCATCCTCTTCGTGCTCATCATCACCTTCTCATCCACCAGCCATAGTCCCCATCTCAGTACAGGTCCCATCCACAGCTACAGCTCCCTCAGCTAGCGTTGCCTCGACTCCTTGCTGGGCAATGGACGTAGCTAAGAGAAACAAGATCCTGAAGGATTACCGCACCCAGGCTGCTTCAGCTACCTCGACCATCCTCGCAACTCTCTCAGTGGTATGTTTGCTTGTCATGTTGTGTTTCTCTGTTGTTATGGGTATCCTTGTTATTACACTGCAACCCAACCACCTTTTAAGCTACGCACAGCACGCTAACATGTCATGTGCTATTCCAGACACCCCTTGAGAATCTCAAGACCCGAATGCAGACGTAAGCATATCCTACCTAGAGCTGTATATCTATCTACCTACTACCTCTCTAATCATTCCTATTTTACTTCTAGCCATGATTTCAAAAATCTAACTCACTGCGCTAAATATATCTGGCGCACTGAAGGTTTAAGGGGCTATACCGCAGGTCTGTCTCTTTATCCGCCTCTACCAATCTTTCCATCTCTTTTGCCAAAAACTAAAAATATCTATCCAGGAGCTCTTCCGCCCCTGGCCACCGTGACCATTGTCCGCGTGACAAATTTCACCGTCTATCAAAATATAAAGCATGCCATATCTAAGATATTCGAGCGGATCACCGGAGAATCGCCATTGGCCACCTACAACACTCCAGGCAGTCTGCCAACATTTGCTAGTGTAACCTGCTTCACAGTATCTGGGATGGTCGGAGGCCTCGCCGCAACCCCTATAGCTTGTAAGCTATTCCATTCCTCCTTGAAAAAAAAAATTAAAAAAAAAAATTAAAAATGAAATAAAAAACCCCATTCCGTTCCTAACCTATTCAGGCCCCTTCGAATTGTGCAAGAACGTCGTCCAAACCTCTGTCCTCATGTCCAATAGGTCCCTCGCTACAGCAGCAACTGGCCACCCGTCGCTACATAACATGCCGCGCATCGGCACCATTGACGCCTTCAAACAGATTGTCGCCCGTCACGGGTACCTTGGTCTATATACCGGTGTGCGTTTGCACGCCATCCGCGACACCATTGGCACCGGTCTGTACTTTGGCATCTATGAGACATCCAAGCAACTCATTTCCACCTATCTTGGGGAGCATACCTCGCCGTTTGGAGCACCAATGGTTGCAGGCGCGTTGTCCGGGGTTATCCCCTGGTGTTGTGTTAGTATTTATCCATTCCATATGTACTTTCTACCTCTCCCTATTTCGCTTAAATGCGTCATTTACATCTCAATTAACTCTTTTTTAACTCTTTTTTATTTTTTCCCTGGCTTTCCCATAGACCTATACCTTGGATACCAAGAAGACTCGTGCGCAGAGTATCCTGCTTGGCAAGACCAAGGAGATCGGTGAAGCTACTATGGCGGTTGCACGATCCTCGATGTACAAGGGCATCTCCGTCTCGATTGCGCGTACTGCCCTTCAGAACATGATTCTTCTGACTACGTTTGAGTATTTGAAGGTTAAGATTAACCAGCTCAAGGAGTAGGTTTTTTTTTGTTATCTCCCCTCTTCTTCTTTATAAAATTTCTGGGAGACATTTTCCTGATGGGGGTAACCATGGGTAGTGATCCACAGAAACAGGAAGAGGAGTGCGATTTGTGAAAGGTTAGGAGCAGACGGTTAGAGGTGCTGATGTCCATTGTGCCTTATTTTTTTACTCTCATGGAGTTTGAATGGGACGGACAGAGTGACAGACGGGTAGTACATACAGATGTATATGGCTAAGGGGGCCCAGATCATATTACTTTTCTTGTGATTAATATTTCGTTTGCTTTTTCCAGGCATTTTCTTTTCATATTTTTTTTTTCTCCGTCTGATCTTGTGGTAGATATTTTTGTGTTGATGATTGCGATTTTTATCTTTGCGAGTGCTTTCATTTTTCCCTCGGCTTTTGGTATGATATTTTTCATATTACTAGCAATGAGTACTCTCATTTCCTCCAATTTCCGCTATCCCGCCCTTTTTATCTACACCCCGAAGGAGGAAGGCTTGGTTATGGTTTCTTTTCATCTATATTTTTACTTCCCTCTTGTGTTAGTATCACGGTGTCTGGGTGCTTGTCATTTTTCCCTTTTCCATGCGGCCGATCAGATGCGTTATTTTCTGGGGATTTTTTATAAAATTTTCGAGGCATTTTATGGTGATATATGGTGGCGGGTGGTGGTGATGATGATTTCGTTGCTCTCTTCGGCTCCCCCCTTTCCCTACCTTCCTCCTTTTCCTCAAGTCACACTCTGCTTCTTGTTTATTTTTTTTCCCCCTCCTTTTTTTATTCTTTTATTCTTTTTTCTTTCCCCCCTAAATCCGACCTGTTTTTTCTTTCTTTCTTTCAAATCCAACTTTGCCATTGCTGGTTTGAGATTCGCGCGGCTCAGTCATATATATATATTTTCTACTTTTACATTTTTGCATGGGATGTATTGGTTCATGGAGGACTGACTGTATGTATATACAGACTTGTACTGTACTCTGTGCTGTGCAGTAGTGTGCTGTGGTATGGTTGTTTGGCGTTGGCTCTTTCATCAGTCTATAGGTACGCAGGTACATAGGGAATTACGGTACATTCTCCAGCAACGCTGATAAGCAGCAATCATCCCGCTTGGATGTGACAGAAAAAGATATACGTTGTAGTTTGTAGTTGCTGTTGAAGGTCTTCCGCTTCTACGTCATAGCTCGCGCACGGGCCACGTAACTTTAACCTTATTTTGCATAGACTTGGCATCACAGCCTGGGAATTTTATTTATTTACGTCAAGTTATTTACTTTCTTTTCGCACTCTCAATCATACAAGCCACAGTTTAGTAGTACCCAACCCGATAATATATATATTACGAATCCCTAGACGATAAATCATGGCATCGTAAGTTCTCCAAACCCATTCCCCCTTCCCCTCATTTGACATCCTCTTCTCCGCCCAACCTATCTATCCTGCACCCGCACCCGCGCCCGCACCCGCACCCTAACCCCTCCGCCTTCCCCCAAAAGACCCACCAAACCATTTCTAACAAGACGACAATACACAGAAACATCCTTACCCTCACCCTCCGCCGCAGCCACCCCATCTCCCTCTCCGCCGCCATAACCCAATACATCTCCTCGAAATATGATCAGCGGCCCGAAATGTTTACTGAGGATCTGCTGATTATCGACCGCCTGCGAAACGATGCCATCAACGTGGGGGAGCCGCATGTGTCGGGCATTAGTCGGCTGGTGACTTATGCGGCGCAGTTGAAGTGGTTGGGGGGGAAGTTTCCTATTGATGTAGGCTGTTTATATCTATGCATTGGGTGGAATATGCTTTATTTTTTTATATATTACATATATATATATATATATATATATATATATATATTAGGAGGGGGATTGTATGTTTGTTTTTGACTGATAGGAAGTATCTAGATTGGCGTGGAGTTTTCGTGGTATCCGGCTTTTGGGTTTAATACGTCGAGGCCCGGTGAGCGATCCCGTTGTTTACCGCATTCCCCTTGACTCCGTGAACTCGACTTCTAATGTGATGACACCCTAACAGTCTCCCAAAATAACCTCCGCTTCGAACTCGCCAACATCCTCTTCAACCTTGCCGCCCTCTACTCCCAACTCGCCGTCTCCCTCAACAGCACAACCCCCGACAACCTGAAAACAGCATGCAAATACCTCTGTCACGCTGCCGGCGTCCTCGTCCACCTGCGCACAGATATCCTCCCCGACCTCCGCTCCTCACCACCAGAAGACATGGACGAAATGACCCTGCGGAGCCTCGAGGAGCTCCTTCTGGCACAGGCGCAGGAATGCTTCTGGCAAAAGGCCGTCAAGGACGGGCTGAAAGATGCCTCCATAGCACGCCTGGCGGCCAAAGTGTCCGACTTATATGCCAACGCGGGTGACTGCGGCGTCAAATCCGACGCCATTAGCACCGAGTGGATCCACCATATGACAGCCAAGCACCACCACTTCGCAGCAGCAGCGCAATACAGACAGTCGCGCGATTGCCTTGAGAAGCAAAAATATGGGGAGGAGATAGTGCGGTTGCGCGATAGCGTGACATGCGTTAATGAGGCGTTGAAGGAGAGCAGGTGGATTAATCGGGCTGTGCTGGGGGATTTGAACGGGCTTAAGGAACGGGTTATGGAGGATTTGAAGAGGGCAGAGAAGGATAATGATATTATTTACCTTACGCCTGTGCCTGCGAAGGCGGAGTTGAAGCATTTGGATCGGGCGAGTATGGTTGCTGCCAAGGCGCCCAGGGAGGTGACGGAGGCGTTGGCGTTGGTTGGGGAAGGGTTGCCGTTGGGAAGGCCCTTGTTTGCGAAGCTGGTGCCGTATTCTGTGCACGTTGCGGAGAGTATTTATGTGGAGAGGAGGGATAGGTTGGTTAATCAGGAGATTGTGGGTGGGTTAGAAGAGATGACTGCTAAGCTTAGGGAGTATGTTTTGATTTTTTATTTTTTTTTTCTGGTGCAATACTGTGCGGGAGGAAAGGGGGTTGGTATTCTTTGCTAACATTTCATCTGATGCAGACTCCTCCAATCACTCAATCTCCCCGGTTCTCTCCAGGCTCTTGAAAAGCCACTCGGCCTCCCTCCATCCCTACTCTCCCATGCAGAAGAGATACGTCAGCAAGACGGCCTGAATCGGCTCCGTCTGTCCATAAAAGACACCTCAAAACTCAAAGCAAACGATAAGGCCATCTACACCGAGGGTGTCGAGATGCTCATGGCCGAGAAGGACGAAGATAACCGTGCACGCACCAAGTACGGCACGGACCGCTGGACACGCGAAGCCTCCGAAGTTGCTGGCGAGAAGCTGCATGCCCGGATGAAGGAGATCGAGGGCTATTTGGCATCGGCGGAGAATAGCGATCGACTTGTTGAGGAAAAGTTGCGGGACACGGAGAGGGTGCTGCAGGTGCTTAGCGGGACGAATAGAGAGATTGAGACGTTTGTGCCCAGTACTCGGAAGGCGGCGATGACAGATGCCGTTGAGAGGGAGGCAGTGCGGTTGAGGGGTTGTTTGAATGAGGTGTCTAGGTTGGAGAGTCGTCGAAGGAGGAGGGTTGAGGCGCTTAGGGAGAAAGCGAGGGGGGATAGTATTCGTATGTTTTCTATATATGTGTGTATATGTGTATTGTTATGGCTAACTCCACTGATAGATGCCGCTCTCCTGGTTGAAACCGGCCGTCTCGAGCGGGACTTTCCCATGCAACGAATTGAGGCCAGCCAATTCGAAGATCTCTTCAGTGCACGGCTGCAAGAGTATGATGTGGACCGCAAAATGCTCGGTGAGGACGAGGAAAAGGCCCAGGCGAAGATTGCGGAGCAGCTGCTGGAGGCGAATCGGAACTTTGTGAATGCGCGGCGGGGGGATTCGTCGACGAAGGAGCGCGAAAAGGCGTTGCAGGAGTTAGAGAATGGGTATGTAAAGTATAAGGAGATTATTGGCAATGTGGAAGTTGGGAGGAAGTTTTACAATGACTTGGCGAAGCTGGTAGGGAGGTTTCGGGATGATTGTCGGGGGTTTGTGAAGGAGAGGAGGATTGAGGCCGGGGAGTTGGAGAGGTGAGTTGAGTATCAACATTCTATATAAGTATGTAAATTTTTGGCTAACAAATGAATAACAACAGAGACATTACGAATACTATAGCAATGGCGTCACTCAACATTTCACAGATCCAAAAACCGAAGCAAAAAACATCACCACCTCCCGCAACGGCGGTTTCCACTGCACCTCCAGCAGCAGCAGCAGCGTCAGCCGCCATTCAACAACAGCAGCAGCAGCAACAACAACAACAACAACAACCACTATACCAATCACCACCGCTCCAATACCATCAGCCATACTACCAAAAGCCCCTCCAAAAATCCCCTACCAAACCCATCTGTTCATCCACTCCAGGCTCATACCCCATCCAAACAGACTTCACCCCATCAACATCCACCACGTCTCCGGCTCAAACCCTAGCATCACCCACAGCACCATCAAGAGCACCAACTGAAGAACCCCTCGTGGCCCCGCAACCCATCCGCGCCTCCATCGTTCCACCACCAAGCACCCTTCCATTTCCGCCACCGATGCCAATGCCCATGCTCAAGTCAATGCCTGTGGCAGGTATGTGGTCCCCTGAGCGGGGGATCAAGTTCGCGGGAGTCCCTGCTCCACAGATGAATGAGCAGACACAGCGGACGCGTGAACAGGCACAAGGGCAAAGCGACGTGGAGGCGCAGGAGGCAGCGCAGTTGAGGTCTCCGGTGCCGTTGACGAGGCAGATGGCGATGCCAGCGCCTGGGCAGTGGGATCCGAGTCGGGGGGTTAGGTTTTCGTAGGGCTTGGGGGGTGGGTTTGTTTATGGAAGTGTATAGATATCATATGGGTTGGAGTTTTGGGTGGGTGATACATACCATGGATATGGAGATGTGGGCGTGTGGGTTTGGGATGTGAGGGGTTTAAAGGTGTGTTGGATTTGTTTCATATATTGAATATGAATATTGATATTACGTAGCACTATTAGTGGGAAGTTATTTCTTTCTTTCTTTCTTTCTTTCTCTGTTTATTTTTATATTTTTGTTTACATATATATTTGGTATTGAATTGAATTGAGCGGTTTTGCGCATATTGTTTTATGGGATAGATGCAGATTTATCCATATTTTCATATGAGGATGTGTGAGGAAGGCATATTTGAAATTTTATACCCACTCTCAGTTCAGTTTATTATTCATTGCTTTTGCTGGATGTGGAGACCGGAATTTTTGCGCATTCCTTTTGTTGTCTCTTCTTAACTGCTTAGTGCGTTACAGGTGAACAAGATCTTCTTGTTGGGGGGTGAGGATCCAACAATGAGTGAAAGGGGAATTGGTTTGGCAGACATCGATGATAACCGCCATGGAGTGGTAGGTAAGCCAGGGGCAGTTCGTCCCTACGTTGAACCACAGAATAATTACGCTTCTTCAGTCATACCCGGTTTGACCCTCTTTTGACCATATACTTCAAGTAACATGTTGACTGCCCAGCATATTTAGGAGGTATTTTATATTGAAGTATGCCGATTCTTACCCCTGCAGCTCTAGAGAGCGTGACAAAGGCGCAAAATCTTCAAAGAGGCCAAATAACAATAGAAATCATACGCACATGTGGTTATTTAAATCTCAAGTACAATAAGGTGGTTATCAATATCAGAAGAGAGAGAAAAAGCGGCGAAAAAACACACTGGAGAGAAATAGGTCTAAGCAACTGGAAACCCCCCCAAAACCAGAGAAGCAAAAGACAACAACAACAACAAAAAAAAAACACCCTTCCACAATTACAAGTGTATATGTGCATCAAAGACACTTAATATAGAATGCATCGAATGAAAAGAGGTATTAGTCAAAAGCCACAAAAAAGAAAATCACAACCAGCCGGTTTAGATCAAAGTCCCTCTGCCACACCCCAAATCACCTCTATGGGTCATAAAACATCAAAAACACTTTCCACCTCTCACTCCTTTTTGCCCATAGCTCCGCCCATTACACCAAATGATTAAACGTTCCATGACAAAAAAAAAAAAAAAAACCAACGCATAACCGACAAAAGCACCACCTCCCACGTCAACCACTCAGCACCCGCTCTTTTCTCCAGCTTTGATCCACGTCACCTCAAACATGCCCTCGAACACTTCCACGACAAATCCTGATTTCTTCTCTTCCCCAATGTAGCGTAACCTCAAAGTACCCTCTTCTATCATTCCCAACGGGTGGAGTGATGACAGAACGGTAAGTTCGTACTTCGGGTATGAATCACTTTCAACATCTCGTCGAACTCTCAGGCAGGATAGAGAACGTAACGGCAAGCCAAAGAAAGCCGGGATCTTCGCCCCAACAGTCAGGCATCTATAACAGCAAGAATTGACAAGTGGGAGAGTTTCGAAACATAACGAGCAACATTAGAAGTCATTAGGAACAATTGCGCGAAACAATAAAATGGGGGGATCTCTGTTGTACGGGGAACGCAAGTCAAAACATGGCGTGACATAGCATGGAAATATCGAGGGACGATTGTGCGATTCACGTTTCCATCATGGGAAACGCTGTTGGTATATTATTATTATAAACGGCGATGATGGCACTTTCCTTCTTCTTTCTTTTCCATTCACTTCCATCACTTCCATCTTTCAACCCGCCTCGTTCACTTACGCTTTTCTCCTCTCCAAGCCGTTCGACGGTTGTTGCTGGGCCACCTCTGCGCTCGCGCGATACTTATCGAACATGCCAGCAATATCCCCGTCAGCAATGGCACCGCTATTCTTCTCCGTGATCAGGTTCTTGAGCCACCGATTCTCCATCTCGAGCTGGGTGATGCGGGCCTCGAGTGTGGCGTTTTTGGCCGTGACCTCCTTAACGGTGCGCTCCATGTTCTTTTCACGCTCCTTCTTCTTGATGCGGAAGCGGGCACTGGCAGCCGTGTTGCGGCGGCGTTTGTCTTCCTCCTGTGCCAGTCGCGCGGCTTCGTCCATGCTTGGGTTTCCGGGGGACATTGCTTCCTGTTTCCTTTTGGCGGGTTGAGACAGAGGTGATGCCAAGGATACGTTGGATGAGGATCGGGCTGACACGGGCTGGGGAGAAATCGAGTGCCCGAACTCTCCAGAGGTCATGGGGGCTCCATTGTGGCTGGGGGGTGGAAGCTGGGACAGCGGATAGGCGGGTGCCTGCATGGTGATGATGGGTGATTGGAAGTCAGGCGGGTAGCTGGCCAGGTTGAAGTCTGTTTCATTGTCAGGTTATTATCCAAGGTGAAAGCCCACCCGCGCAAACGAATAGCGAGAGGCATGCAGATTCAATCAACAGATAGAAGATTCCCTCCCCATAGATATAGATAGAGATAAGCGAGTGAACAGGATCAGGCAGAAATCGGTTTATATAATCCGGGGAGACTCCCCGTAGTTAACTATAAACGAGGGCCAACCTGCCAAACCACCCGACAGCTTGAGCCGTACACAGCAGCAGCAGACGGAGGCGCGGGCGAATGCCATAGTCACGTGAAATTGCGTGATCGCTGCACTGCCATCACGTGCCTGGGCCAGCAGGCGGTTCCCCGTCCAAGGTTTGGGTTAAGGCAGGCGCCCATAAAACCCATAAAAGGGAACGGACGGACCCCCCAAAGGCCGCAGATGTCGGGGAGACAAAGACAGCGCCGCTCAAGGGCCTCCAGGGGCCTACAGGGGCCTACGGGGGACGCCCAACCCCAACCAGCCCCAACCACGGATCGGCAAGACAGTAACCAATCCACGGGCCCTTGAAAAAGAGGACCTCTCTTGGTAGTCTGCGCGTGCTTGTGTGATCTATAGGCGGATAACATGTGGGGGGAGGGAGAAAAAGGTGTCCCCAGGACGCGCATGAGAGGGCAGGTCTGACTGAAATTGAGGGAGGCACAGACGGGTACGACAATCATCCAGCTGCTGAGCATATCACTCCAGGAACGAGCTGATACATGACCTGTGTCAAATGCGCAAAGCGGCATTTAAATTGCATCATCCATACGGAGTAGCTCAAACGGGGTATCTCGAAAATCTTAAAAATCTTGAATAACCTCCTGCCAGTCCAGAGGTATATATGGGGAATATCTTCAAACTCCAAAAAGGAAAAAAAAAAAAAAGAAAAGAAAAGAAAAGAAAAGAAAACGTAGAGAAGAAAGATAAAAAAAAAACCCCAAATGTAAAACCCGACTCACCATTCAACATATCCAGGTACTTGACATTATTATCTCCATCGCCAACCGTGCTCGGAGAGTCCTTATTATGCGCATCGGTTCCCTCCACGCGTTCAAATTTCACGGGCAGGTCAACAGATAGATCCCCAACAGCATCAAAATCCAGGAACTCCGCGTTCGTAAACAGAGCCAATTCAGCATCCACATTGAATAGATCTTGCCGCTCCGCTTGCTGTTGTGCCAGATCATAGGGCGAAGGAATGGCATTCAGATCATTCAGGTATTGCGAGAAAGTCGGGGCTCGACGCCCGCTGTTGTAGCCAGACATGGCTTAAAACCTCCCCCTCCCGGCGGACACCAAAATAAAAAAATCAAAATACGACAACTCTTTAATCCCTCCTTGATAAATCCACGATAAGAAATCCCAGCCACTAATTTGCTATGAACGTCGAGTCCAATGGTAGATGTATGACCCAGTGGTTCGAGATGTTACAGTGAATACGACAGCAAGCAGAGTTCACCGTACAAAAGGCGGGCACAAGTACAAAAACAAGGGCACCCAAGAGGCAGTACACGCGACCCCTGGCGGTGTGAGCGATGAATGGAAGTTGAAATGAACTCGAGGGGGGGGGGGTTCGAGATATATCTCTAATATGCGCGGGTGATGGAAAAATGGAAGAATCGCATTATTAGAATATAAGAGGGGAGAAACGGTGGTGGGGATTGGGTGGGCGACAGGCGACAGGCGACAGGCGAGGAAATTTCACATGACGAAAATCGCGCGGGGGAAGCAGAGTCTATTTCTGGTCTGGTTCAGTCTCTGGCTCTGGGCCTTGGCTCCGGTGTAAGTTTCAGACAGAGTTTTTGGTGGGGTTGAAAGTTGTGAGAGTTCAACTGTTTTTTGTCAACCAGATTTTATTACCCTTGACACTAATTTTTATTTTACTGGGGAAGACCAACCTCCGGAGCTAATGGGCTGACGACAGACTGGGGTGTTGTGCTGTTCGTACGATTAATAATTAATTGAGATTTTGTGTTCTGGGGTTCTTCTTTAATTAAATATCATCACTCTTGTTGGGGTAGTTAGTTTGTGACAGTTCGATCCCTTGGTCTCTGTCTTGTTTTCGCCACCTGAGCACTGGGCACTTAAGCTGCAGTCTACTGCATGAACATGTCATGTCAAAATGGAGGTGTGGGGCAAATGTTCCGGCCACCCTTCCTGCGCTAGAAAGTTTGGCTGTAAAAGGCTACTTGTATCACTACCACCAGAGTTTATCTGTCTGCATCGGGATCTTGATGCTTGCAGTTATTATTCTCTTACTGCCTGCTTTGAAATTATTCTCTACTGCATCTTCTATCCGTCATATGCTTTTCCTTACTGAGGTTCATGGTTCAAGCTCATACTCCTCTCACCGAGGGAGGTATATATAAAAAAGTCAAGGAAATCACAGACATTTCAAAGTACACGCAGAAAGGCTTAACTAAAATTTAAAAAGCAAAATTATAACTCTAATGTTAACTATTATATTCAAAAAGAAGCTTGTCAAAACTGATTTATAAAGTAATTAATTTAAAGAAAAAGTCACAGAGAAATAATAATCTATTATAAATTTTATTATTAAAGTTTAATAAAAATACAAGAAATATACTGAGATTTTAATTTATGAAGCTGATATTTCCTATAATCTTAATAGTTAAATTTTAAAAAATTATAAATTGAAGAATATAAAGTATTTATAAAATTAAAACTAACTAATTCTATTAAAATGTGCTAGTTTAAGTAAACTTTCAAATATAAATATTATGATTTAAAATAAATAAAAAGTAATATAAAATAATAAAATATTTATTACTTTGAATCAAAAATATAAGATTATTTAAATTTCATATCAGATTTTAAAAGTCAATATCTATATAAAAATAATAAAAATTATCTTTATTTTGGAAATTTTTTTTATATAATATATATATATATATATATATGAAATTGAAAATAATTAAAAGAACTACAAAAAGACAACAAATTAATTGCTTTGATAAAACAATCTGTTGATGATTTAGAGCAGATTTCAATCATTAAGTATCCTTATCATCTCTTTTTAATTCTGTATAGAGATTAGTGAAATTACTGATATTTTGAAAGCTTTTCTCAGAGAAAAACAAGATAAATAAAGCTTAGAGCCTATCAATATTAATATTGACAGAAAGATTGAAAATTAAATTTCATAAATAAAACTATATTGAATGAAATTTTAATAACTTCAAAGATGAAATCTTTGAAATGATATTTTTAATTGCTCATTCTTATTTTTTAAATATCTTCATATGATCTGAAGAATAAATTAATTAACTGACTTATAAGATATAATTCTTATATTGACAGGTTGGTTGCGAGTTGGAGTGACCCTTTTTCATGCTAGTTCTCATTTGTGACACGCCAGCCTCATTTAGACCTAGCTCACAAGTCGGGTATTTCGCTTTGCTGGCCAGAGACGCTCTCTCATTTACATACGAATAATCTAGCTAATCAATTCGCTCGTACGCACTCAAACTATTACAAATGATACAGCCAAGTTTACTAGTACAGGAAAGGGGGTGGCATATGGAAAATGATAATGAGCATTGTGTCGGTTAAAACTTACCACATGCACTGATACTTTGTAAGCCAATCCTTTAAAAAGCAGGGGAAGGCGGATGATGAGTTGCACAAGGGATTATTGTGAATGAAGTTGTTGCATCTTTTGTGCAGGTTTGCATGAACAGCTCGGTATACAAGATTGTGAGGTTGCATCTGCGCGGTGTTTTCACTTTGTAAATGCGTAAACAATACATCACCTTGGAATGATGTGAGCTTGAGCGAAACTGCCCGTATCGATTTCTGTCCAATTCCCTCCTACTCTAGCTCTGGGGTGCGAACAAACCGGACATCCGCCGCAAAGACAGAATTGGTTTGTCAGCCAGCTGCTCTGCAAGCTTAACTATTGCATTAGCTTCACCCATTTCTAGCTCTTATTCAATGCGAAGATTGAAACACTTCAGTTCTTTTCCTTCAAATCACCCCACGCTGTTCTTTTTCTCCGCCCTTGGCGCGCCGAATATTCATGGTTTCATTATGACAACATTGGTAGCTGTCAAAACATTTACCTACCAAGGGAGCCTTGTTGATGGAGATCTTGTTAAGCCAGTCAAGTAACTTTGGAGGAACAAAAGAGCTCTCGCTGAATTACGGCCTGAATGACGGCGGATGGTTCACACACGAATTTGGCCCGCGTTCAAAACGCAAAATTCAAAAGCCACTGTTGATATCTGATCTGATGTTCCTTCAATTCGAGAGCGAAAGACTGAGATACTGCACGTGTTGTTAGCTGCATTCAACGACTGGAGAATGGATTGTCCAGAGGTAACATAAGTGTACGGTAACAACTAGTCCTCCATCCCTTCCTCAAAGGGGGATGGGGGTACAGTAGGAGTTGAAATACCACTAAGCTGGGGCTTGAATCTTGAGTCTGAGGAGGCCTGAGTCCCGAGTACCTTACCTTTAACGACTAGCATCGGTGGAAGCGGCAGCAGTTGTAAGAGTCAATGGATGTTCTCGGAGTCCCGTACGGAGTATTCCAAGGGTTTGAAAAGCAGAGCTCAGCTCCGATGCTGCACTCATGATCTATCACGGAAGAAATTATCCAATATTGTAGATAGATTGAGAAGATCATGATATCAGCACGTGACCTTATCTGATCGCCGACAAACAAAAACAAACTCTGGGCTTCCGCTTCAATCGCGTTGAGTATGGAAAAAGTATGGGACAATGAATATTCAATACAGGCATTACTCACTACATGGCATCCAGTCTCCCAATAGCTCTCCTCTGGATGTGTATATATAGGTAGTATAGCTACACCAGATGGCCCGACACGCAGTCGTCCGCGCCCCAACTGCTGCAAGCCTCCATGACAGTCTCCTTATTCCCTCTACAACCCTTTCGCTCGTAAAGACACTTGGAAGGCTATCCCGATCCTCGTTGCTCGACCTGGTCCTCCAATGGCTACATGACAAGAATGTCAAGTCATTTCCCCCGTACCTTGGCCCACACAGCGTGGCCAATTTCCAAGTGCACGAGGAAGAGTTCAACACCTACCCTCCAGCCAACTCCGTTGAGGAATTGAGGGGTATATATGAGGACCTTCGGGACCGAAAGGGCGGGAAGAGGGAAGTGATTGACCGCATACTCGAGGGGGATTGGAGACATGGTATATCGCTCCGTCAGCTTGCTATGGTGGACATGCAATATATCGAGGATCACCCTGTCGGACAACGATGGACAGCCCTGCAGTTAGTCCCCCTCAATGCTGAATCTCCTCAGTCAATACCAGGTGGAGATATTTCAACATCTCTCCCCCGATTCCACGCCTCGATGTTCCTCAGATCCATACAGCGCGAAATATCCCCGCTGGTAAAAGCTCATTACCATCTATACCGTTCAAAGACACTTCCATTGACATTCGTGCGCATTTTCGTCATCGACTCCCCATACCAACGACCACGACAGTCCCCATACGTCTTCACGGACTCGTCGAGAATAATATATCTCGCGTTCCCCGATAGTACTCCGTATATATATTCCTCCCATCTTTCCTACTCATCCCTTGCGGACACCAAGACTACTTCCGCGACATTATCTAATACCTTGACTACGGATACACGCACCCTTCGCAGATTCGTCAAGGATGCGATACCAAATGCACTCTCTCGACCCCAGCAACGGTATAACCTCAAACCAACCTCCCTGACCTCCAAGAGCCTTCACACCCTTCTCTCCCTGCGTGGGCCAGGTAGAACGAACGCTGCCAACGGCGCATTTACCGTCTTTGCCGATGCGGTGGTTGAGGGCTGTCCGCTTGATCCACGTCTTCCGCAATCTCTTGCTCCAGGAAACTATGACAGTGTCCAAGGATACGCTGAAAGCAGGAAGGAAAATATACCGTTTCCACAACTTGGTAAATTGGATAATACACATACTCCCTCCGTAAAGAAAAAGACACCATTCCAAGAATCATCAACAACAGATCCAGAGGCCGAACAGATAGCAAAGAAGAGGAAATTGGCTGTCAATTCTCGATTCGGGACCGCTGGTAATCAACAAATGACAATACTCCCCTTCCCCCCAATTACATCCCCAACCTCCCCCCCGAAACCAAATAGCGAGCCACAAATACCTACTTCTGTCCCAGTCCCAGTCCCAGCTCTTGACCGTCTAGAAATTCATCTCCAAGATCCTCCCGTCCCTTCTAACTCGCATGACGAGGATGACGAAGGAGATGACGAGGAAGA